AAAAAAAAAAAAAAAAAAAAAAAAAAAAAAAAAAAAAAAAAAAAAAAAAAAAAAAAAAAAAAGTTGTAATAATAGCCCTATAATGGCTATAACATGTTGGAAGGCAATTCTTTTGTAGCTTGTTTGGGAGGGGTTTGGGTTCCGTCTACCCCCAGCCTTATGCTTATTCTTCCTCTTTTGAATATATTTTCAGTTTCTCGTCCATAAAAAAATATAAATTAAGAAATTTTATTTTATAAAAAAATGCAAAGTTTGTGTTGCTCGGCATTGCCTCACATGCACCAAAAACTAATCTTTCAGTTTCCGACGTCGCAGGTTAATTCTCCGAGAAAAACTTACAAACCTAGAAATTACAGGGTAGAAGAGAGGAAAGAAGTACAGACCTCTAGTTCCCTGTCTACTTCTGTTCGGTCTTTCAAAGTACTATACAACTGTGATTGCAAAATGAATGGCTGAACTGACACCTGAAAACAAGGAAAAGTAAATACTATAATAAGAAACTTATGTTTTATGAGCTTGACTCAGATTGATTTCTTTCAAACGAAGATGCAAATGCTCCATAGATTGCAAAGCAAGGCAGAAAACAGGGGACAAACCAAATTCATGAGGACGGACTAATAAATAACTAGTTATGTGCTGCACAATGACATGAACTTCTATTTTCCCATGTTCACCACTAATTAAGTTACTTTGATTCTGCCTTCAATAACTCTGCAAGTTCCATCGGTGAAGATTACAATGAGAAGAATAATATAGAACATGCACACTACTGCAAGAACACTAAAGCAATGTTAATCCTAAAGAAAAATCCCTACTAGTGCCCATATATCACAGAGTCTGCCTCTTCTTCGATGCAGGGGAAAAGATCCTTGCGCCACAGCACCCATACGTCTTCAAAGATTCCTTCATTTGGGCATCTACCCGACTTCAGCTTGGAATTACTAAGTTTGTTTGAGGATTGAACTAGCGCCAAAAAAAAGTTTTGGTTCTCTCCATCCAGTAGGTTCATAAACAACCGAAAAAGAATTTCCCACATGAAATTTCTCCTCAACTGGAAACCTTCGATGGCCGTCAAACATAGCCGAGGCTCTCATATCCGATACATGGCATTTTCTGGGAATAAATGACCTACTAACTATAATTATTTTGAATCACTCGGTTAAACAAGTTGAATAGTCCCAATACACACACATATCTCTGGCTCTCAATTCTCAGCGTCTCCATGAAACGAACAATAAAATACTCAACCTAACTACGGAGACAAAAATCGAAGGAGATTAAAGAACACGAACCTTGTCGATGTTGGGAAACTGAACTCGCATCATACGAAGCGCCACCAAAGTATCGCTAAATGTAAGACAATCCTCTGCATTTAAAGTAAAAGTAACACACTTCATGACTCAATCAGTGTTTAGGCGAATAAAATGATAGAAAGTGGTCAGACAGTACCTAGAGAATCAATTTCAGAATTGCCATTGCCATTGCCATCGCCATCGTCTTCAATTTCGGCCTCTCTTCGGCGTTTCCTTGCTTTAGATGATTCCGAAGAACTGTTCATTGGCGCGGAATTGGATCAATGCAGTAGCTTCTTCCACCTCAACTGTAACTGTGAGAAGGAATCTCTTCCCTCCAGTTTTGTTCCCTTCAGCTTAGCCCTAAAATTAATTTCAACTGAATTAAACCCGACTTACTCCTAATTTTCAAAATTAATTTTTTCTTCATTATTTATATATATATATTTTTTATTTTATAATTATTTATTCCATCCAACCACTCTAATAAATTTTATATATATTACCAACAAAAAAATTTAATTAAACGAATTAATTTTATTATATTAAAAAAAAAAAATAATTTTAAAACACGTTAAACTTATCTGGTGGTATGCTACTGAACTGTTGCTTATTTAATTAGGTTGGGTTCATTATTTAAAAAAATATGAATAATTTAATATACGTAGAGAAGGAGGCTCGGCAGTACGCCATTCAGTCACCAACATAGCGCCTCTCAATAATTTTTTTTATTATACTTTATAATTAAAAAAAATATATATTCGGTTAATTAATCGACCTATTAGATATATATTAGAATTTTATATTCGATAAAACACTAAATTAATAATTTCGTATTTAATAAATTCGGTCATTTTAAAAATATTAAAGAATTAGATTAAATTTATAATGGAAGATAAAATATTTTTGTCAGTGTTATTTTATTTTTATTAATTAATATGAAAAAACGGGGAAAATCCATGTATTGAGTAAAGGGTTTAAAGAACTTGGCAGATTTTGATTTTTTGGGTTTTAGGATCAAGGTATGCATCAAGCTTCGCCAAGACATTCATCCACCGGCAAATTATCTTCTTGAAATGGCTTCCCTCTCCACCTGGTTCCGCTACATCGCCCACAAGCTCGAGTACTCCGTCTCTCTCAGTTGGAAGGTCTTTCACTTTCTCTCTCTAACCCTATTCTTCAATTTTTTCTTATGGTTTTTGTTGAATTACTGTGTTTCGGCTTCATAAGTTGTTAGTTTTTTTTTTATTATTCGAACATTATTGGAATTTCTTTAGAATAATCACATTTCTTGTACTGTTGTTTGTCATCGGGCTTTGGAATTTTCGTTTTTGAAGTTTTAGATGTGCGTTCTTGGAATTTCAATTCGCATTTCTTGATTTTCTTGTTTTTGGTTTTCGATCATTAATGAGTCTTCTGGTTTTGTTCATTGTTTATGGGTTATTGGCTGTCGATTTTCTGTGACAATTGATGTTTATCTTTACTAAAAAAAAATTAAGTTGATTGGTGCATTATTACAATTCGGCATTCTTTACTGAAGAATTTGTAGAATTCTGTTTGTTTAACTGTTTCTTGAATGGCCACTTCTTCAATGTTAATTCTTGGTTTGTCGGTTTGATTTATGATTAACTCATGTTGTCATTTACCATTTACCTGTCGGGGGCGGGCAAATTAGCAAGGGCATTTAAAAACATAAGATTAAAGCCCTATATGAATTTAAAATACTCATAGGTTAAATTCTTTCACATGATATCTAAAGAATGTTTAATTTTTGTTAGTTGCAACTTTCTCATGTTTACCGTCTCTCCATGTTGGTGTTCATTTCATAGGCTAAATATATATATATATATATATATATATATATATATATATATATATATTGACTGCCCTTTCTTGAGGGAGGTTTGGGAGGAAGTTTTAATTGTGTTTTTGGCTAGATTTTGAATATTTCTCAAGGTGCATCCTCTCTATATTGCTGCTAGGCTCTTTTTCAGAAGAAAACATAATTTATCTATTTCTTTTTAATAAAATTACTGCTTGGAAAATTAGATGTGTGTTTCAAATGAAAAGAATAATTCTTCCGAGTTTTGTCCATATACTTGGTTTCTTGGCCTTCTGTTGTAGTCCTCTATATATATGTTTTTCTTTAATTAATCTCCTTTTTTAAAAAATTATTTTTCTTTTAATTGTTTCTTTTTCTCAATGAGTGTTCTTTTTAGCTTCTTTTAGAGATATAGTTCTAATGTTTGAGAAGTTTAAGCAGGCCAGGAATTTCTATGTTGAATGTGTGTAAGCTGCTGGGACTTGACAATTAAACCGTCTGCCAGAAAAAGCAAATGGTGCATAGCTAATGCCAGTTCCCAAAAATTCATATCGTACTTGCTAAACCGTCTTAGATCTTCTGATTTTTTTTTTTCTCTATTCTTATAAGAAATATTAAAATGATTTATCTCTCCACTCCTTCATGCATCTTCTATCTCTTCTGGATTTTCTTGTAGTTATATCTCGGTTAAATTCTTGTTGGTTGTTAGATAGGAAACTTTTGAACTCTAAGAAGTGTTTGATTGAGAAAAAAGTTGAAATGTCTTAACCATTTCAACCTTTCAACTATGGTATATAAACGATTACAAGAAGAATCTTTACTCTGATGCAGAACTATAAAGGAGGTCAAATTACTGACAAAGAAGTAGGTGATGCCGTTTGGAAGAATTTACTTCAGGGAAAGCTCACATACCTCCATTGGATTAAGGGAGAGGAGATGGCCCCAACTGTAGGTGAGGCAGGGGGAACGCTTCTCATACGCAAATTACCTGCTGCAGATCCAACGTAAACTTCGTCTTCGTCTTCCTCTTAGTATAAAAATATATATTCTCTTTTGCTGCAAGAACAGTTTCCTATTCTAGAGAGAACTGATTATGCTTTTCGGAGTAGAAATTGGAATTTAGTCATTGAATAGTTCATATGCTCCTTAAAACCTGTAATTTAGGTAGGATCCTACTTCAATTCTAGATTTTCTTAGCTTGTACTTTTTACCAACTCTCTTCCTTAATGGCAGAGATATTTGTTTCACAGGAGTGTTTTTGTTGGGGATGTCGTGGTGGTGAAGGAGCCAGAAAAACCAGAAAACTATCTTGTGAGAAGATTGGTTGCAGTTGAAGGGTATGAAATGCTGTCTACAGATGAAAAAGATAAGCCTTTCATGCTTGAGAAGGATCAGTGCTGGTTGTTGGCAGATAACGAGGAGTTGAAGCCGAAGGTATAATACAATGACAATCACCATAATTTTGCTGTAAATAGTTTTTTCCTCAGCATTGGTATTGGTCTCTCTATGATGGTGGTACCTTTTTGCCCTAGGTCCATACCCTTTTGGTTATCTTGCCATTTGAGATTTCTGGTGCACTTTGAGTTTTATTTTTTATTTATATTTTTTTAATTATGGAATTTTATGAGCAGCTAATGCCAAAACCACTTCATGCTATAAAAACTTTGCTCGTTTTGTTAATTTTCAATCGCGTAATTTTAGCCCCTTTTTGTTGTGTCCTTTCACATAATTGTCGAAAACTATTTGGAGTTCTTTTTTTTTTTTTTTTTTTTGTGTGTGTGAGTGTGTAAACGTCCAAACATTCCATTTTAGTTTATGAACTTTGCATAAAAAAACCACTCGTCATTTTGAATTTATAGAAATCTTGATCATACACTTGGAAAAAGTTTTGGACCATGTTCTATGGAAAAACTGTTCTTTTTTTTTAAAAGAAGAAACGTACAAAACTTAGTTTTGAACTGCAGTTTCTAGGTGCCAGAAATATAGGAATGCATAAATGCAAATGCATCACATGAGTGGTTTAGAAAGGAAAAAATTGTATTGCTCTATCTCTTGTTTGTTGTTTCCCAACCAGAAGGCTTATTTGTTAAAAGACAAATTCGTCAAGATTTGGTTCAAATTGAACATGCATTCTATGGTTCTCTTTGCTGTGTTGTGTAATGATTTGATAAGTGTTGTAATCTTCATCACAAAACTAAATTTCCCCCCTTCCCTCTCATTTATAAGGAGGCGTACGACAGTCGAACATTTGGTCCAGTTACGATGTCAGACATTGTAGGCAGAGCCATATATTGCCTACGAACAGCGGTCGACCATGGCCCAGTGCAGAATAGGTTAGCTACTATTCACTGTGTAGTCTGCTCTTTAAAAAAAAAAAAAAGCTCTTGGGACTAACTGAGTTGTGTTTGTTTTTACTAGTGATTTTAGCATGAAAAAGGATTCACCAATATTGGAAATCGAACTGGATGTGGATGAGATGGCGAAAAATCACAAGGCCTGAAAGAGAGTTTTATCTTGATTTGGACTTTGTATGTAATCAATCTCTTTTGCCAATTTTTCCTTGCAGATGAAACCCAAAATTTTCAATGGATTTTGGGGATATTGAGTTGCATGCTTACTAAAGCATGAAAATGGTCGATAAACATCCATCAGATTTTCCCTATATTCAGGTTTACTTCTGTCTTTCTGAAAAAAGCAATAAGATGATTACTGATCTACTTACCGGTTTGGTACTAAAATACTTTATGGTTAAATCGCAACATTTATTTAAGTTTAAGATATAGTTGGATGAAATTGAAGGTTGAAACAACTTAATTCATAAATTTTAGTATTTTACAATTTGTAATAGTTTAATCCATACCATAAAAATTTCAATCCACATGAAGTGTATTGATTTTGTCTATGCAGTTTGTAAATACATTTGGCCTCTAAGTACATTTGGCCTCTAAGTAGTGTACCAATTTGTATGTGTATGATCTCCTCCACACCTTTACAAGGTTTTAGATGATAAGGATTAGATTGTTAAACTTTTAATTATATATATATATATACATATATAGAAAGTATTACAACCTTGAGGTAGTAGAGTTCCATTTCTTATTCTAGAAAAAAAAATTAAAATTATAGGTATAGACTGACTTGAGTTGTATCTAGTTTATGTCGCGTACCTACCATCTTTCGATAGACTTGAAGAAATCATTATTGACTTCATCTCTATTAGATCTCTTATTTGTTAGTTTTTCTAACCTTTTAAGTATACACTCAAAGATTTATTGTTTGTTGCTCTTTTTTTATGGTCAATGTTAAAAGTTCAACCACTTCCTTCGGCTTTACAGCAAGGTGGAAGGGATGTCATTACCCCCAAAAAAATTGTTTTATGGAGTTCAGATGGAAAAATGTACATTTGAAAAGTACTTCAAATGGTTTAGGTTTTATATTTTAGCCTCACTTAGTCCTTCAATATTTAAGCCGGGAGATTAGTTGTTCGTGGATTAAAAAGGTCATAAGAAAAGCTTTTATATAAAAATATCGAAAGTTGAATGCTATAAACAATTTGTTTGGTCGATCTAGGGACTATATACTTCATGGATTGTTTTTCTTGAGTTCAATAACAAAGCGGAATGAAAGAATTCAAACATTTTCAATCTATTTAACTAACTTTCGTCGTTTTTAAGAATTAGAAATGTCAAATTCTAATATGCCTTGAAATGTCTCGTTTCGTTCGAAATCCACATGTATAAAAGCATAAGAGGTAAAGAAAGAAAAAATGTTCTCCCAAGCATAGACATTTAAAAGGTTATCTACAAGTTTAATAATTCATCAAAAGGCTAGAATATAAAATAAGTGCAAAAGTAACACTAAAATTGAACTCATTATAATGAGTTGGTCATTCATCCATTACAAGATCTTACACACGATTTATATAAACAGAAGTATGGTGTTAAGAGAACTCGATACTATTAATAATTTCAGTACAACAAAATTCAACGTACATGTGAAACCTACAATAAACTGTGAAGTGGTGAAAATATTGTTTTACAATGGTGTGAGTACTCTTCAAAATTCAGCAATTTCCAAACAAATTGTCTATTGTCAGAATAATATACAGTACCATAAAGAATGAAATTAGTGAAACTGATTATAAATATAGAATACTAATGATTGTCTCAGGACTAGAAAATTATCTAAGCATTTAAGTGAGCGTATATAAGATAGAAAAGTAGCAACTAAAAGGTCAAAAGGGTTTTGGTAGTTGAATCTCTGTGCAGTTAAGTTATCTACTATTCCTTGTTCCTTTTAATGCAGGAGCTATGCTAAAAATGCTTTTGAAAACTGAGGAATTCTATGACAACTTTCCTAATTATATTTGGAGTAATATGTAGTAAATATATTTGGAGGGAAGAAGAAATGTACAGGAGGTCGCATTAGAAGTAGTCAGAGAATCCCCCTTCCCTGTCATTGTCAGATCCTGCAAAGAGCAAATGGAACACTGTTAGCAATGAGAACCTTTGCTCCTAAAAAGAGGAACAAGAGTTAAGCAAGTATGTTTACAATTTTTATTGTTACTTTTAACCATACAAACACCATGAAAATTTATAGTGTTGGTACCAAATGAAGAGAAAGTTGGCATGGACGAACTTGGAACAGGAAAGGTGAAGTCTTCTGACGATGAATAAGAGCAACTAGATGTGGCATCCGTCGGAACCCTGTTTGGAATAGAACTAGATGCATCTGGCCTAGGAGGAGTACACATGATCATTTTCATCTCCGTGATTTGGTTTGACAAGCCATGTATCATCCTGTCACACACACAATCAGATACATATTATCAAAATAGTGTGCAAGTAGATATTAGATGTTACCATCGTTGTACGGTGTCAGTCAAATCAGCAGCTCATTTAACTTTTTCCAAGACATGCCATTGTATTCCCCACAATTGTAATCCACTATATTTATCAGCCTGATAGCAGAATGGACGAATTCTATGCCAATACAGCATGAGGACCACAGGGGAATAAGTCGGAGGATAGGACCATCCACAGGTTTCTCTTGCAGCTTTTTTTCCCTTCATATTATTAACCCTTCTCCACCTTGAGCAGCCTTCACTTTCTCCACTCTAAGGTCAAATTTTTCATGTGGTAAGTTTAACATGGGAGAGACAAAACCATAGTTCTTGTTCAAAGAAACTCTTCCCTTGTGTTTGTACCGTAATTGTACATTCTTTGTAGGCAGTAGGAGGGAGGCCTTGACCACAGAGGTTGCTAGTTTGCTCAATCCCTTTGAAGTTGGTGAATGATCTCGTTTGGTTCATCTGGTTCTCTTCCAAACAGGGTTCCGACGGATTGGAGTTATGAGCTAGGTTTTATTATATTGGATTGGAGTCTTTTTCTGTAGTTGTGTTTTTTAGGTTTGTAACACGCCCTTTTCTCTGGGCTTGTGTCTTTTTTTTTTTTTTTTTTTTGTATGTT